TAACTTGATGGATGGATAAATTAAACTTCGAAGAAGAAGTTAAGAAGAAGCTCCGTCCCTTAACTCCAAACCCCGCCCACTTAATAAACAATTCATATAGAAAAATAGCGATTTTAATGGATGGTGCCCTTTGTGGTGGTTGGCAACCTGGAAACTCATGTACCCGCATACACAACTAAACCAGCTACTGACGGTTTCACATATTTATAGGTAATGAAATTTTTCTGGGCAGATTGTTTCTGTGTCAAGCGGCGCATTCACTGGTTCAAACCCGGCTCAATGTCCTCCTGGGCTAACCAAGCCTTCCATCCCTTCCCTTCGGTCGATCGATGGTACCAGATCCAAAGCAATTCTGAATTGAAGTCGAATGTGGGGGCGCATACATACCATACATACCTTAGACGAGATTGTTTAATGCCTGAAGACTTTATTCTTTATCCTTTGTTTAGGATCTCTTAAGGGGGGCTCCTCGTGAGAGTCAAGAGGGGTGTGCCTTACTAGAAGTTGTTCCAGAATAACATCAAATACCGTACATATGATGGCAGGCCAACGTTCTAAGGAGCACTTCAAATTCCCTACATTCTTCGCTTGTTCGTTTATTTCACTAATTCGGAAACATTTGAAGAAGAATAGAAAATTCAAGTATGGATGTGCCCTGATCAAAGACTCTACGACGCTGTAGAATTCGCGGTACGAAGATATAGCTCCGTTGATGACATTAACAACGCAATTCGAGAACAAATTGTTGGGTGAGTATTTCTCACGACATTTTCGGGAGTCTGTATGCTTTTTAATGATCCCTGATAGTGAACGCTAACAAATACTTTTTGTACAATCTTCAAATCTAGTCGATACAGTGATGGGAGATTTCTGCTAGGTTTATGACACAACTGAGGATGGATCGTGAGTGACCTGAAAGCTGGTAGTGAAGTCTCGGGATAGTCGAGTGACTAAGAGTCTAGGTTAATGTCTGCGTTCAGAAAGACCACGAGTTTGATCCCTGCCGATGCAAAAACCATGCTTTGCAAAGTGATGCCAGCACCGACGTCAGGACCAGGTTGACAGACGAGCTGGTAAAAAATCCGTTACAACAATTATGTGTAAAATATCTAAAGGATTCCGTGTAAAAGCGTAGATGTTGAGTAGCGTGCCACCAAAATTCCTAAAAGGGGAACCAATAATATCTCAAACCCTCATTTCCAATGCATAGTAGCGTAGTCGATAGGTATGGTGCATCGAACCTCTCATTGGATCTGATCATTGAAATCAAAGGGAATTTGAGACCCATCATTAATATAGTGTAATCTATTACAGTTTACGATTGATTTTACAGGTACCGTGACCAGATCTGGTCAACGAATACACTGGTTTATACTCGTGCCACGGCTGATATGATCCCACTGAAGGGCACGAAAAGTCGTAACGTCTGCTTTGTGACTGTTTTTGCTGAGAATATTATCGTTTTTGTCACATCGGTGGCACCTTTCCTTTGATCTTTGGCTATTTCCAAAGAATTCCTGTTACGGGTAGTCATTCCTCGTCTGTTATGTGTCTAGAGGCATGATCCGATTTCTGTGAATACCACCATTTAGCCTTTCATTCACTATTGCTAGCTGTAGATCACGACAAAAATTACGTGGAAACAAGAATAAACAGCACTTTATCAAATACGATTTCTTGGCATTTTTCCAAACTAGTACAAGGTATAGTTCATAGTCCGTAATAAGGCACATAAACCATACACCCACTGTATGGTGTGACTGCATCCTGATCAAATGTTGTAGTGGTATTTACTACACTAACTGGCATACACACACGCCACGGAGAACGTCCAATGCGCGTGTCCGTCGAAAGTAGGTCACCCCGCCCACTTCGCGCGCGGCGCATCACACTGAGGTCTCGAGATGACATTACAGTACCACCAAGTGTCATTGGAGCGAATGATTCGCATTTGTCTGTGTTATCTTCTTCTTGAACTGACTGCCGTGGACCAAATGCAAAGTGTATGCCCCAGTGACAATTGCGACGTCTGTCAAATATCGCGGGCCGACTCGCCGCGTGCGACGGCTGCGGCGTGACCTAGTTTCGACGGACACGCGCAACGAAGCGCACCCCTTCTGCAATCCCTAGCGCTCTGATCATTTAATTACAGAAATACTGAGCAATACGTTCTCCGCTCCTACCTGAGTAATACCTGAATGTAATCGTAACGGTCTTGTATATCAGTTAGCAATGACTCTCCACGTGTAATGATGCCACGTTGTCCCTTCCTCAACGTCCATATCGGCTTAGTCGACGTTTTAATAAGCGTCAACTACGTTCAGCAGCTTTTCTGTTCTGCTCTCGAAAGCGCAGTTACTTTTGGATAAGCCTTTCTGGCCTTCTTTCTCACTCAATTTTCATCTACCGGTTGTGCTGCTAACCCTTGTATCAGGCTCTCCACATTGCTACTGTCCAAGTCTCCGTATGACTCTAGGACCGTCACTATTAACTGGGCCTCACTACAATTCATTCATCTGTGTTAATCTCAAAATCTTTTAGTCCTTACTTTAGCTCCACTGCCAATTAGTATTCCGCCAGCAATGATGTTCCCCATCTTTATTACCAGTTATTCATGAAGATTAGTGGCTGATGCCAATACACAGTATTGTCACGGCCAGCCACCTTTCGCTAACTGCGATGCCTTTTTAATGAAAATCTTCTCTTGTTTTGAATAGCCATAGTAAAAATTGATATCTTCGCACGTTGTTGATTTTTATCAGCTCTTGTCATTGGCGTCCTGATAGGGACATTTACGGATGTGATCATAGTTGATACGAGCATTCATCAACTATGATCACCTCCGTAAATGCCTGTATAGTTTTATTGCCATCATTTAATGCAGTCGGTGCTGTACCGTGACCAGAAAGCCATTGGGCGCTACACTAGCTCGTATATATATTCTCATCAGCGTCCAAAACTCGGCGTTGCTAACAATCTACAAAAGCCCAGGTATCTCCCAGTATGGATAGCCAGATTTTGAAGTTCTGTGAATGTATGGTACGGGGCTTCGAAATCCAATGTCCTAAAACCCTCTCCCAAGGTACCTTTTTGTAGCTTGAGTGGGTGTGGTCGGTTTACTGTATAACCCGTTCGCGAAACTTTAAAATCGGTCTTGTTCAATATAGCGCTTCATTGGGCAAACTTTTCAGATGTCATTGCA